TTTGAGAGAAATACTCCACGCCAAAGTGGGCCTCGATAGGGAATCTTTGTAATGGGCCAAACAGTTAGATGAACCGTGTCCATATAGGATAGTCGAGCTTCGATGAAAAAACATGTACGCATATATGAATTATTCAAAGAAGCATTCTTTATATATCAAAAACTTTGTGTCTCAAAGATGTTTACTACTATACGAGCTACATACTTGTGATTCTGTGAGAAACGACTCAAGGTCCAAAACACAAATACACCTCGAATACTCGGGGAATGTCATCGACAGTCAACATATTAGAGTCGTCTAAACTCAAATTCATAAGACCTCAAAGAGGCATCCCTCGACATAAAGGCCAAGGCCATCATACTCGGGGACTAACATTTCGAACAAGTTCGAAATGTTATCGGGAAACAAGTCCCAGAGACACCCCCGAAGGCTACGGCCATATTAAAGACCGCGGTCATATAAAAAGGCTACCAAAATAATGCGGCTCAGAGATGTCCGACTTCTGCCATAAGTGAAAGGCTTTCAATTACTTTGAAAAACTGGTTAAATAAGGTTACCCTCGGCAAAGTAAATAAAAAACGGCTTCGATAAAATCTGCCCTAGAATAATTTAAATGCTTCAATAATATCGGCCTTCGAAAAGCCTCAAGAGCTATTAAATTATCTTAACACAAACGGATTAAGAAAAAATTGGGTTTTGATCGATTGAAGCCTCGAAAAACCCAATGGGTACAAAAGACACATGCTAAGGCATAAAGAAATTTTCACGAAGTCTTTTAGCTGAAAAGAGGGAAAAATTATAGACGTTTTAGAGGCCGAATTGCCCAACTTAAAGAGCCTAAGGGCCGACCTAAAAGAGCCTGAGGGCCAATATAAAAGAGCCTAAGGGACGATTTAGTAAGCCTAAAAGGTCGATACAAATAGGGTTCACGACTTTGTTCTCATCCGATCCGAACCCAAGGGTTCGATTATGCCAAGCCTAAACAAATAGTGGCTTGATCACGGCTCGGGGACTCACCATTATCCGGTACGACCCCGTAAAGGTCTATGCCCAAAAGTTCAAACTTATTCGAACTCGACCATGGCAATTTCGAAGAAAACATCTGAGATAAAATCTCAAAACACAGTTAAAAAATAATGAAGTCATTACAAGAATTTTATAAGGAAGGAAATGTCGAGAAAACATTCAAGGAAATTCTCCTTTTTATATACTTGAAAACAGATATATACAAGAGACCGAGGTAAGGTCTTACTAAAAAGAACAATACATAAAGAGGAAGGAAAATCCTATATATGCCCAGGGCTAGTCTCTCCCTCGGGAATGGCTTCCTCTTCGGGCCAAACTTCATTGTCGGACCCGCCTTGGATACTTTAGGCATCATCATCAGCATCTTCGAAGGAGACAAGGAACTTGGCATCAGCTTCGAGCGCTTTTGCTTGGGCTATCTCCTCGGTGAGGTCGAAACCTCGAGCATGGATCTCTTCGAGGGTCTCCCTTCGGGATTGACACTTGGCCAAATCACTGACTCATTTCTCTCAGTTTGAGGCTTACCTTAGTTCCATTTGAGAGGCCTCGACATCCTTTAGATACACAGCAACAGTCTTATCAAACGTGGCCTTTGTCTTCTCAACCTCGGCCCCATCTTTAGCAACCTCAGCCCTGGTTGCGGCATCTTTGGCCTCGAGCTCATCGATTTTCTCAGCCTGGGCCAGATTTTTCAGTTTGACACCCCGGAGCTGGGTCTCAGCCGAGGCTAGTTTGGCTAGAGCAACCTCTTTCTCAGCAGCAAGCCGATCCATGTTTTCCTTCCACTAATTACAGTCGGCCTTAACTTGATCGATCTCACCTTGAAGCTATCCAATCATCTCCAATTTTGCTGCAGCTGAGACACTAAAGTGTTAGCCTCCACAGTTGGGCCAACTAGACCATACTCTTGCAAAACAATGGTTACTTGCTTGTCTAGCTCGGCCTTATTTTGACGGGCTTAGGCCAAATCTGCCCGAAGGTCCTTGAGCTCCTTCTCCTTTTGGCTGCAAAGGAGCCTTAGGGCCTTCCTTTCATCCGAGGATCTCTTGAGCTCAGCCTCACATTAGCTCAGCTCGGACCTAAACTTGGTAATGGCCTACACAAAAAAAAGAGATATCAGTTAGTGTAAAAGAAGAAGAAAAAATTGCAACAATAAAAGCTAATGCTTACCCGAGAGAAGAGACGATGAGCCTCTTCCAAGAGGGTAGATGCATCATTGAGGTCGGCGGCATCATCAAGCCTAATAAAGCAATCTCGAAAAGGATCTTCTTCATCGAGGAATCTGCTCGGGTCGGGCGTTCGCAGAGCTTGAGCTTCCTTTACTTCCTCCTCAGAATAAGATGGTAGAGGAGGGAAGTGACCTATTGTCATGGCCCCGAGAAAGTCGCTTGGGGAGCTCCGTTCAGCCTCGGGGGTCTCGGTACTTGCCCCCTTTAGTGTATTTGTTGAAGGCGGGGGAATGACCTCGATCTCAGGTGATTCGAGGGCTTTGATCACATCTTTCTTTGGAGTCTCCTCTTCACGAGGTAGGGTTTCCGGTTCGCAAGACTTGACGGCCTCAATTGGTTTTCTGGTTCGGGTCACCAACGCCGACTCTTCACCCTCATCCTCTTCCTCATCATTTAGTTGGTGGATTGAGTCTATGTCCACTTGAATGCGTTTCCTCCTCTGCCTTTGAGCAGGGTCTCTCTTATTTTGGGGGTCCTCGGGTTTCAAAGCCCTTTTCCTCTTGTTATCTTTCCCCGATTTTGTAACCGGGGACTCGGTCTCTTCCCCGGGCAGGGCTGGCCTCATTTCAGAGACATCTCCAATGCCTGCACAAATGAAAAATAGGCATAAGAGAGATAACATCTCCAATAAAAGGGAAAGCATCAAGACATGGGAGAAGAACTAACCATGGTGCTTGGCCTCCCATTTTCCCCTCGACAAGTCATGCCATTTGCGCTCGTCATATGAGGAGGTCGCAACTAATTTTCGCACCTAGTCTTCGAGGTCGAGGATCTCATGGGGCATCCTAGCAATAGCTACAAAAAAGGTAAAGGCGCTACAAAATGCGGAAACAGAATATAAGAGGATATTGGGAAAAGGACTTCACTTACGATTGGGGTTCCATTTCTTTAGGAACAACATTTTTCCCTCAGACATGACATCCGAGGTCCTCACTCGGACAAACTGGCTCATCCAGCCTCGGTCCTTATCCTCATCATTTCTAGCGAAGAAGGCTTTGCTCGATCGACGTTGGATCTTGATCAACCCTCGGTTAAGTTGAGGCCGATACAATCAGATGAGATGATTGAGGGTGAACTCTAGTCCCTCGGCCTTGCTAGAGAAGTAGCGAAGCATAATCACTACACGCCAAAAAAAGGGAGTAGGTCTGGCAGAGGGTGACTTGATATCTTTTACAGAAGTCGATCATACTGGATCAAGGGGACCAAGTGAGAAGGGGTAAGTGCAAACACTTAAGAACCCCTCCACATGAGTGGTAATGCTCTCCTCGGGGTCGGGGATCTGTACCACGACTTCGTCCTCCCAGCCACAGTCTTTCTTCACGGCCATGAGATGCTTCTTCGTTATCGAACTAATATATTGGGATACATGCTCACATCGGCCAGGGATTGCGGGGGGATTTTCAATATTGAAGTCTTTCTTTATAACACAGGGGCCGGGAATAATCTTGTGAAGGGCCGGCGCCACAAGTTTGGCCGGCCTGGAAGAGGAGGAGGAAGCTTTCTCCTTTTGAGGAACCGTCTTTGAAGTTTTCGCCATTAATTCGAGTTAGAAGAAGTGAAGATAGACGGAGTTTGGTATTTTCTGACACTAAAAAGAACGGGAGTAGCGGGTAATGAGAGAGAAGAGATAAAGAGAGGATGATATAAAAGAAGTTTGGAGGTGGTTTGAAGATTGAAGTAAAGTTTTTTCTGAAATTAAACCTTGTATTTATAGGAAAGTGGTGACGGTTCAATGGCGCTAGTGGCCGACCACCACTAGAGAAGCATTTAATATTTTGTGGAAGCAAATCGACGGGACATTTCGGTCACTTTGAGCGCCTACATCACGGGAATGACATCATCATCAAGGACTACGGAAAATCGAGGATCAAATCGTTTCTTATCATTTTATTCTTAGAAATGTGGGGACTATCTGTATAAGGTAAAATCATGTATCCCCGATTTTGTGGGCTCGAGGGCTCGCATCGAGGAGCAAGCTCGATATGGACCACCTCGAGCCCAATGACAGAATACAAGGCTCGAAGATCGAAGCACGTGATGAGCACCAAAGTCGGGTATGACCAACCCCGAGATGATGCCGTTATGGGTTTGTAACATAAAGAACAAGATTCCCGCCACGTCCCCAAGATCATGGTGTAAATTCCAGAATTGATTTGTACGAGTTAGTACGAATCCGTACTAGGCGGTTAGACAGCTGTCCCAATAAGATTCCTTACTGTAAATAGAAATGTACCTTATTTAGGGTTCCCCTATTATATAAAGAGGACCCCAATGATTTGTAACCATCATCAATCATTGGCCAAAAGAATAGACTCCCTTACTTTCTTGCTCATTACTCATCAGAATTGCCTCTTAACTTTATTGTCTTTACTTTACTGTTCTTGAGGACCTACCTCGAGGCCATCACAACTCGAGGTCAAGATTGGCTTAAGCGTTGGTTTGATTTTGCTTACTTCCTTAATTTATACGTTTATTTTCTTGGTTATTAATTAGTATTAAAGTAAATCACCTATCTTTAAAATCATAAACAAGTTTAATTGTTACTCATATTTTCGAGGTAAACAATCTCGTCCATGTGTACGCATCTTGATATTCAAAGTTAGATCACATTCTTTCGTTCTAACTTAGCGAGGAAGGCAAAGCTTCACTCTCAAGTCTCATAATCATATCGCCAGAGTAAAAAAAATACAAAACAGAACCAGAATGAGAAGAAAAAAAATACTCATTGATAATTCAGAAACAATATTAGAATAACCAGATCATACTATGTGTATATGAATAATATCTAAAATTATCAATGAATTAACTAATTATCAATCCCAAATTTATAGGGATCGATAGATGAAATCCCTATATTCGGTATGCCTTATCTAGGTTTATTCATCCCAATATACTTAACAATATATCTTTCAAGATAAATCGGGATGGGTAGTATCTCAAAACAAAAAAAAAAAAAGAAAACAAATTCCCTTAATCAAGAACATCTCCTAATAATCCAAAGAATATATAGAGAAACAAGTCAAAGACTAGAAATTAAAAAAGAACAAAGAAATAAACTCCAAGATTAATGGCGCGCCCAAGGTATAATAACGCAATTGGTTCTCTCAAAAGTACCCGAAGATCCAACATTTGATTTCATAGGAACCTTCAACTCACAGCCAGCTGCTAACTTAAACTTCCCTGATGTGATCCAACCAGACTTAAGCCTAATGCGCATGTAAAGCACCGTGAAAATCCTGTACATCCCAGATTTCTTCTCGTCATTGTAATCTGATTTCTCACTATCTCCCAAATAAACCGAACTCTGACCCTTGAGCACTGGATTCAAGATAGTAGTATTCTTGGGATCCTGATAGAACGATTCAAGATTGGTATTGGCGAACTTCTGGCGATGATAAGTAGTCTTGGCTTCGATGTGGTCAAAGTAAACCCCAATCTTTTTGTTGGAGTTTCTGATGTCAACGCTGAGGGAAAGATCATAATCGAGGGTGTTTGTCGTGGGGGAGAAATCGAACTTTGTGAGCGAGGCGTCAGCAATGTGGAAGTAGACCTTATTGGGCCTGAAAATGAGCCAAAGGGCTAAAATAATGACGCCCAAAATGATGATAATGGCGCAGAGTATTTGACAGATGCATGCGAAAACGCAGCTGAAGAGACAGTTGCAACAACAGCAGCGCCCCATGATTGTTGCTTTCTTTCTTTTGTAATTTGTTCTATAATTTGGATTATGTAAGGAGAATGAAAAGGGATTTTGGTAACGTGAAGGGGATGAATATACAGAAGAATCAAATGGGAAGGTGGACAATGATTCTTCTGTATCTGTTGCCCAGGTTGAAAGGGAGGTTAATGTGTATGTATAGATATTTGAATAGGATTGGCATTTTCTGGAGTTCGTACGTAAATAAATGGTGGGGAGGAAATAGAGGAAATGCTAATTTTTCGGAGTGGTTAGGGTTTGACACACGGTTGTCTTTGCGGAGAAATTTTATTTTTAGTAATTTGTTTAAATTACTTTTTTTTTTTTTTTTGTGGAGAAGATTTTATCATGGGTGAGACAAAAGTATAGGTAGTTAAAAACAGTATCGATACTGGTTATGTGGAAGCTACAGATCCTGTTCGTCCATATCAGTCTCTTCTGCTTTCTTAATAAAGTGATTCTTCACGAGGTTAATTCTTAATTCACATTGTGACAGTAGAATGTTGGAATGGAGTACATGAGTGGTGTTTTGGTTATAATTTTGAGCTATTGAGATCAAAAATAATGTGTACATATTTACTTAAACAAGAAATGTCACGACAAATTTTCCACTATATGCCGTTATGGCGCCCCACGTCGCCGCTAGGCAAGCCAACAGTGAAGGATAATAGACATAAATAATAAACAAGGTAAAGGAAGACTCTGGTGCTGCAGATTGAAGCAAGGCAATCAACTCACCACTAAGTCTCCGTAGAGGTGCGGCTACGCGCCCGTGTGACCACTAGTAGTACCTGTCTCGGTGCCTGCACATTCAATACAGAAGGGTAGCGTGAGTACGAAAAACAATGCGTACCTAATAAGTATCTAATCTAACCTCGAAGAAGTAGTGATGAGGGGTCGAATTGACACTTACTAGCGGTCAACAGTAATAGAAATCCATAAAGTAAACATAGAGAATGTACAACAAGTAGCAACGAAACAAATAAAAGTAATTACAGTAATTCCACACATGAGTCTATATCGAATCACTAAATATGTCATAACCAGCCTTGAAGGTGCTAACTCAACTGTTACCAAACCAAATCCAGTCTCAAGTATTAAGCGCGAAGCTGCCGAGGCAAACGGACCGATCAAATAGGAATAGTGGTACTTAGTACTGCCGAACCGAACGACCCGATCCCATAAGAATAGTGTTACCATACTGTCGAGGCAAACAACCCGATCCCACTAGAGTAATTTAATTCGCTGCTGAGGCAAACAAACCGATTCCATAAGAGGAGAGAAATTTATCTCGCTCGCAGAAGCACATGCGAGTTGAGAAGACACGGATCCATAGTTCATAAAAAATTTCCCAGTTTTTCCAAAGTAAGAGGCTAATAAATATCTTTATTCTAATTTCGATCTTTGTCATAATCAAGGAAATCAATACACATGATAGATACAAATAGCACAATTAAGCCATGATGTGAATCTAAGTCTACCTAGATATAACATGAATATATCCACGTACGGACTCTCGTCACCTCGTGCGTACGTAGTTCCCCACAACAAGTAGCACACAACAAATAATACACCTTAGTAGATAAGTTCCCTTACAAGGTTAGGCAAGAGACTTACCTCGCTTTCAAATCCACTAACCAGCTCTTTAACCTCTCTAGAGCTCCCCAAACGAAGCCGAGCAATCTGAAGCTAATCAAAAGTAGTATGAACTAATCAATAAGTGCTCAAAAGTTCACGATATAACCACTAGAGTAATTACCCACCCAATTACAAAGTTTGCTAAAATTCACCCCCGACCCCACGCACCCGGATTTCGGAAATTTTCGCAAATAAATATAATCCATAACCTCACGAATACAAATATATAATTTCTACTCAATTCCATAATCATTTCCGTGGTCTAATCCCATTTTTATCAAAACCTAGTTTTTCAACAACTTGTAAAATTTTCATATTTTATATGTTAAAATATACCCATAATCTATGTATTTAACTTACACTAGGTAAAAATTACTCACCTTACAATTCCGGATGAAAACCCCTCTCCAAGAAGCTCCAAATTCGGACCACACAAATGCGAAATAGGAAAATAAGCCTAAGTCCCGTCTTTAAATCAAGACACGCCCAGTGGTTCCTTCTTCGCGATCGCGATATCGAAGGCAAAATGCCAAGCCCGAGAAAAATGCCTTTCTCAAATGCGAGACCAGCCTCGCGAATGCGAAGGCTTAGCTGCCCGCAGCCGACCTATCTGCTGCCTTAACTTTAGAAAGATCATTTTTTTTAACATTTCTTTTTTCCCCTGCCCATCGTGAACGTGAGGGCCTCAACGCGAACGTGTAGGACATTGACTGACCCCCTCCCTAGTTGGCCTCACACTTCGCGAATACGAGGGCCAGAGTGCGAACGCGAAGGCCAATGGCCCAGAGCACCTCGAACACAGTCCCCCTCTCACAAATGTGTAGGGAAAAATTCCACCCAGCCTTATTCCTTCATCGCGAACGCGACTCTTCCCAAAGAAGGAAACCAGAACAACAACAACAGATTTTTTAGATTTAGCTCCAGGTGGTCCAAATTCACCCGAGCCACCCGGGAACCCGTCCAAATGCATCAATAAGTCCATAAACATAATACAGAGCTGCTCGAACCCTCGAAACATGTAAAACGAGATATAATCTAAGAATCGCACCCAAAAACCAAATTGAATCAACTTATGAACATCAAACTTTTCAACTATCTCTGAACGCATTCATACTTAGACCACTCGAAATGACACCAAATTTTATGTACAAGTCATAAATCACCATGTAGATCTATTTCCAGGATCAGAATCCCAAATGGACCTTGATAATACCAAAGCCTACTTCAAACCGAATTTAAAAAACTAGAAAACTTTCAATGCGCCAACTTTCAACATTAGGCATCAAAACGCTCCCGGATCACCCGAAACTCGATCCACACATACGCCCAAATCTAATATCATCATACAAACCTATTGGAACCATCAACTTTATGTTCTGGTGTTTTTTACTAAAAATATTGACTCAAGTCAAACTTGGCCATCTTAGGCCACTATTTAGGAACTAAGAGTTCCGATTTCAAATCCGAACCCTTCCAAACCTAAACCAACCATCTCCACAAGTCATCAAACAGTAAAAAAACATATGGGAAGTCTCAATTAGGGGAACAGGGATCTAGAAAGCAAAGCGACCGATCGGGTTGTTATATACTCCACCTCTTAAACAAACGTTTATCCGCAAATGGTCCTAGAATCATAACTGGAGTGCTGAATAATTGTGGATATCTGCTCCGCATGTCCTCCTCGGTCTCCCAAGTCATCTCCTCGACTGGTTGACCCCTCCACTCGACCTTTATAGTAGAGATATTCATAGACCTCAACTGGCAAACCTATCTGTCAACAATGGCAACTGGCTCTTCCTCATAATCCAAGCTCTCATCTAACTGTATTGTGTTGTAATCTAACACATGCGACCTGTCAGCATGGTACTAATGGAGCATAGACACATGGAAGATCGGATTAACTCCCGATAGACTAGGAGGCAAAGAAAGCTCATAAGCAACCTCCCCAACTTGCCTCAACACCTCAAATGGGCAAATAAGCCTCGGACTCAGCTTGCCCTTCTTTCCGAACCTCATGATACCCTTCATCGGTGAGACTTTCAAGAGAACCTTCTCGCCTACCATAAATGATAAATCACGTGCCTTCTAATCCGTGTAACTATTCTATCTACACTGTGCTGTGTGAAGCCGCTCCTACATCGCTGACCATATAAAGCTTTAAATGGATCCATCTCGATGCTGGACTGATAACTGTTGTTATAAGAAAACTCGGCCAAGGGCAAGAATCTATCCCACTATCCTTCGAAGTCAATATCACATGCTCTGAGCATATCCTCCAGAATCTGAACTGTCCACTTTGACTGCCCATCGGTCTGCGGTTGAAAGGTTGTGCTGAGAGATACCCGGGTGACTAACTCGCTTTGTACTGCTCTCCACAAATGCGAAGTGAACTGAGGGCCTATATCTGAAATGATGAAAATAGGCACACCGTGAAACCAGATAATCTCCTGAATGTAAATAAGGGCCAATCTCTCTGAAGAGTACATAGTCACAATCGGAATAAAGTGTGTCGACTTGGTCAGCCTGTTGACAATGACCCAAACTACATCAAACTTCCTCAACGTCTGCGGCAAACCAACTACAAAGTCCATAGTGATGCGCTCCCATTTCCACTCTGGTATAACCATCTACAGGAGTAGGCTATCTGGCTCCTGGTGCTCATACTTAACCGGCTGGTAGGGGTGTTCATGGTTCGGTTTGGGTCGGTTTTTCCCTAGAAAGAAACCAAACCAAGTAAGTCGGTTTTACAAATATTAGAACCAAATCAAACCAATTAAGTCGATTTTTTATCGATTTGGTTTTTGTCGATTTTTTTGGGTTTTCGGTTATTTATCGATTGTTTTCTTAAATATGAGACATATACTACCAAACACATATTTCGGCGACTACATTTTCAACGTAACACTATCAAATCAATTTCTTTTTGAGAAATATATCATTTACCGAAATATATTGATGATAATTGAAGCAAATAGTGATGAATTATTTAAGTACTCAATTAAAAATCGATTATTTTTAACATGAAATAAATTCTTGTATTTAGCAAAAGAAAACTACCAATCAAACAAGAATGTAAAGGCAAAGAATTAGATTATTATAATAGCAAAGAACTAGATTAAAAATACAAATAACTAATATGTTCTATAAAATTTTAGAAACTTTATACAAAATATACATATATATAGGTGTAATAATAAATTTAAATAGCTACTTTTATAGTCGGTTTGGTTTGGGTTTTTTCGATTATTATTTTATTAAAACCAAAACCAAACCAAATTTGATCAGTTTTTAAAATTCAAAACCAAAACCAAACCAAACCTAAAAAGTATCAATTTTTTTGGTCGGTTTGGTTCGGTTTTCGATTTTTTTCGGATTTTTATGAACACCCCTACCTGCTGGCAATTTAGTCATCTTACTAAATATTCAACTTCGTAGCACCTGGATGAAAAGAATATCAAGAACTGTGTGCCACTTTTAGAATCTTCTCCCTCAAGCCATCAACACTAAGAGCACATAGGCGACCCTGGAGTCGCAG